TGCGGGGAACTCTGCAAAAAACGCATCTTCGCACGGGCAGCCCGTGCGTTGGCCAATTATTTTCTCAGTAGCTAGAGGAATAAGACTGCGTCATTTTTTTTGCAGATAAAGGAACGATGGATATTTGGGTGAATGGCAAAAAAGTGGACACTGCGGTAGGAGACTTTGCTTATTAGCATTATGTTATGGTGGTCAGTCTTACTAGCCTGAAATGTGTTCACCTGGAACACAAATTTTAATGAGTAAAGGGGTTAAATTCAACTCTGCGGTCATTGGTCAGCCAGGAGAGGGGCATTTTGCTGATGTGCATGAACTGATTCGGTTGAAATAAAACTTCTAGGGGATAAATGATAAAAAAAAAACAAACAATTTTCAGCAGTACAAATCCATGCTATCGTAGTTGATAGCGATGTAGCTTGGCGAATAAATAGAACACCCACGAAAATGTTTCACTTGCTTCACCGATCAAAAACTACTTAGTCTGGCGAATAAACGCAAAATCATTTGCAGGGGGAATTTGTTGAAAATGGAACAGAAACGCACTTCGAGATTGGTAAGAATGTGTGCTATGTGAAAGCAACAAGTAGTGGGAAGAAGAAGATCGGCTTCATCTATCAGCTCTTTATCAACGATAAGGAGGTGATCACGACCGATGATTCAACTGCTTCCCTCTAGAGCCCTTTCTTCCCAAAACTGCGTCTGCACGTTGGATATTCTTTTGAAATAAATGAAAAATTAAAGCTTCTCTTTGAGGATTTCTAGCCAATTTAAAAAAACTCATGTACTTTTAGCTAGCCGAATGTAATGAGTAGACAGGAGAAGGGTAGCCATGTTATCTCGAGGCAAGAAGTGAACATTTCCAGAAAAATAACTGTAATTTTGTTTTATATGTTTCGGATTTTTATTGCGTGACAATACTTTTTATTTCACAAACTTGTGAAGTCTTGTATAAAAACTACTAAAAAATACTTCCCTTGCACACTAATAAACTAAAAAGGCGCCGAATTGCCTAATTTTTAGTTCAGACTTGCTTTTTGGGAAATTCGATCTGCACCGCTGATCGTTCTTCACACACACACACACACACACACACACACGCACACACGCACACACACACACATACACACATACACACACACACACGCAACACACACACATAACATGCAAGACACATACACGAATACGCACACATACATTCACCTGAATTTTGCGAATTTAAGTAGAGGATGGTTCAAAATATACACATGCATTCGTCGTTTTGAAGAAATTTTGAGAGACGCAAGGAGACAGGCAGATACTGCTTCTGCACATTGGTATACTGGATACCGCGGG